CTGCAAACAGTGACAGTTTTACTTCTTCTTTTCCAATTTGTATTCCTTCTATTTCTTTTTCTTCTCTCATTGCCGTGGCTAGGACTTCCAAAACTATGTTGAACCATAGTGGTGAGAGTGGACATCCTTGTCTTGTTCCTGATCTTAGAGGAAATGCTTTCAGCTTTTCACCATTGAGAATGATGTTTGCTCTGGGTTTGTCATATATGGCCTTTATTATGTTGAGGTAGGTTCCCTCTATGCCCACTTTCTGGAGAGTTTTTATCATAAATGGGTGTTGAATTTTGTCAAAAACTTTTTCTGCATCTATTGAGATGATCATATGGTTTTTATTCTTCAATTTGTTAATATGGTGTATCACATTGATAGATTTGCATATATTGAAGAATCCTTGCATCCCTGGGATAAATCCCACTTGATCATGGTGTATGATCCTTTTAATGTGTTGTTGGAATCTGTTTGCTAGTATTTTGTTGAGGATTTTTGCATCTATATTCATCAGTGATATTGGTCTGTAATTTTCTTTTTTTTGTAATATCTTTGCCTGGTTTTGGTATCAAGGTGATGGTGGCCTCATAGAATGAGTTTTGGAGTGTTCCTTCCTCTGCAATTTTTTGGAAGAGTTTGAAAAGGATGGGTGTTACCTATTCTCTAAATGTTTGATAGAATTCACCTGTGAAGCCATCTGGTCCTGGACTTTTGTTTTTTGGAAGATTTTTAATCACAGTTTCGATTTCATTACTTGTGGTTGGTCTGTTCATATTTTCTATTTCTTCCTGGTTCAGTCTTGGACGGTTATACCTTTCTAAGAATTTGTCCATTTCTTCCAGGTTGTCCATTTTATTGGCATAGAGTTGCTTGTAGTAGTCTCTTAGGATGCTTTGTATTTCTACGATGTATGTTGTAACTTCTCCTTTTTCATTTCTAATTTTATTGATTTGAGTCCTTTCCTTCTTTTTCTTGATGAGTCTGGCTAATGGTTTATCAATTTTGTTTATCTTCTCAAAGAAGCAGCTTTTAGTTTTATTGATCTTTGCTATTGTTTTCTTTGTTTCTATTTCATTTATTTCTGATCTGATCTTTACAATTTCTTTCCTTCTGCTAACTTTGGGTTTTGCTTGTTCTTCTTTCTCTAGTTCCTTTAGGTGTAAGGTTAGCTTGTTTATTTGAGATTTTTCTTGTTTGTTGAGGTAGGCTTGTATTGCTATAAACTTCCCTCTTAGAACTGCTTTTGTTGCATCCCATAGGTTTTGGATCATCGTGTTTTGATTGTCATTTGTCTCGAGTTATTTTTTGATTTCCTCTTTGATTTCTTCAGTGATCTCTTGGTTATTTAGTAACGTATTGTTTAGCCTCCATGTGCTTGTGTTTTTTGTGTTTTTTTTCCCTGTGATTCATTTCTAATCTCATAGCACTGTGGTCAGAAAAGATGCTTGATGTGATTTCAGTTTTCTTAAATTTACTGAGGCTTGATTTGTGACCCAAGATGTGATCTATTCTGAAGAATATTCCTTGCGCACTTGAGAAGAAAGTGTAATCTGCTGTTTTTGGATGGAATGTCCTATAAATATCAATTAAATCCGTCTGGTCTATTGTGTCATTTAAAGCTTCTGTTTCCGTTTTTATTTTCATTTTGGATTATCTGTCCATTGGTGTAAGTGAGGTGTTAAAGTCCCCCACTATTTCTGTGTTACTGTCGATTTCCTCTTTTATAGCTGTTAGCAGTTGCCTTATGTATTGAGGTGCTCCTTTGTTGGTTGCATATATATTTATAATTGTTATATCTTCTTCTTGCGTTGATCCCTTGATCATTATGTAGTGTCCTTCCTTGTCTCTTGTAACATTCTTTATTTTAAAGTCTATTTTATCTGATATGAGTATTGCTACTCCAGCTTTCTTTTGATTTCCATTTGCATGGAATATCTTTTTCCATCCCCTCACTTTCAGTCTGTATGTGTCCCTTGGTCTGAAGTGGGTCTCCTATAGACAGCATATATATGGGTCTTGTTTTTGTATCCATTCAGCAAGCCTGTGTCTTTTGGTTGAACATTTAATTCATTCACGTTTAAGTAATTATCAATATGTATGTTCCTATGACCATTTTCTTAATTGTTTTGGGTTTGTTTTTGTAGGTCCTTTTCTTCTCTTGTGTTTCCCACTTAGAGAAATTCCTTGAGCATTTGTAGAGCTGCTTTGGTGGTGCTGAATTCTCTTGGCTTTTGCTTGTCTGTAAAGCTTTTGATATCTCCATCAGATCTGAATGAGATCCTTGCCAGGTAGAGTAATCTTGGTTGTAAGTTCTTCCCTTTCATCACTTTAAGTATATCATGACACTCCCTTCTGGGTTGTAGAGTTTCTGCTGAGAAATCAGCTGTTAACCTTATGGGAGTTCCCTTGTATGTTATTTTTTGTTTTTCCCTTGCTGCTTTCAATAATTTTTCTTTGTCTTTAATTTTTGCCAATTTGATTACTAGGTGTCCTGGTGCGTTTCTCCTTGGGTTTATCCTACGTGGGACTCTCTTCACTTTCTGGACTTGGGTGACTATTTCCTTTCCCATGATAGGGAAATTTTCGACTATGATCTCTTCAAATATTTTCTCTGGTCCTTTGTCTCTCTCTTCTCCTTCTGGGAACCCTGTAATGCGAATGTTGTTGCGTTTAATGTTGTCCCAGAGGTCTCTTAGGCTGTCTTCATTGTTTTTTCTTTATTCTGTTCCGCAGCAGTGAATTCCATCATTCTGTCTTCCAGGTTGCTTATCCGTTCTTCTGCCTCAGTTATTCTGCTATTGGTTCCTTCTAGAGTAGTTTTCATTTCAGTTATTGTATTGTTCATCTCTGTTTGTTTTTTCTTTAATTCTTTGTTAAACATTTCTTGCATCTTCTCAATCTTTGCCTCCATTCTTTTCCCGAGGTCCTGGATCATCTTCACTATCATTATTCTGAATTCTTTTTCTGGAAGGTTGCCTATCTCCACTTTGTTTAGTTGTTTTTCTGGGGTTTTATCTTGTTCCTTCATCTGGTACATAGCCCTCTGCCTTTTCATCTTGTCTGACTTTCTGTGAATGTGGTTTTTGTTCCCCAGGCTGCAGGATTGTAATTCTTCTTGCTTCTCAAGTTAATCTCTTTTAAGGCTAAATGTGCATAGCCAACATTAGCAGCCTGAATCTTATAATGCCTCTTTGTTCTGTAAAAGAAACTAGCATTCAGAGCCTGGCAGGATGGTTCTCTGGGACATTAGTCTGCCATCTTCTTGGACTCTCTGCTCACTGAACAAAGTTGTTATCCCTTGTCTCCCAATTCATTGGCCTGCTAGGGTTGGATGGTCTCCTGCAGAGGTGGGTGGTGGCTGTGGCTCACCATGGGGATAAGGACACTGGCAGCAGAAATGCTGGGAAGTAGCACTTGGCATGAGCCCTCCCAGAGTCTCTAATTTTAGGTTACTTTAATGTAACATTTGTTCTTTAAAAAAAATACTGAAGAGGTAAGAATAAAAAGTAAAGCCTGCTACTTGCCTTTCATTCATTCTTCTGAAAATGTACTTCCCTGAAGAAGACACTGTTAACTGATGGGTAGCTGTCCTTCTGTGCATCCCCCCTACACACAGCACACAGTTGTAAACAATTATACAGAGCTCTGGTACGTTACAGACAGAAAGAGACTTAAAAAAAGGAGTGCGCTCTGCATACCGTGCTGTGACTTTCTTCTTTTCCCTTCACGGTGTACATACGTAGAAGTACTTCCTTCTTCCCAGTGGCTGCATAGAATTCTAGTGATTCCAGCTGTGATATTTTCCCAGGCCCTTGATGATGTTTAGGTGGAGCAAAAATGCTGGAGTACATATCCTTGTACATATTCTTTTGTATTTGTGACATTTTATCTGTAGGATAAATTTGAAATTTCAGTTGCTCTTTCAAATGGTATGTAAATTTAAAATTTTTACCAAGTAACTGTAATTAACTTTCTCACAAACAGGGTATGCAAAGACTTATTTCCTCACATCCTGGCCAACATTGTTTATCACTTCATCTTTGTCAGGTTACAGTGGTATCTTGTTTAATTGCTATTTTCTTAATTTCAAGGGAAGTTAGTATTTGGTTTATGTGTTGATTGGCTTATGTTTCCTCTGTCATTTGCCTTTCCCGTCTTCTGTCCACTTCTTATTTTGGCTGCCATGTTTTTCTCAGTGATGTGGAAGAACTGTTGTGTATTAGAGGATTAGCAGTCTATCAGTTACGTTGCAGGTATTTTCTCAAATAATTATTAAATTTAATTGTATATTTTGCCATCCAGGTGTTTTAAAATTTATATAGGGAACTTTTCTTGTGACTTGTGGGTTTGGTATCATGTTTTTGAAGTCCTGCGTCAGTCAGAGAGTATAGAAAATTAACCTGTGTTTTCTTCCTCGCTTTAAACTTTAATTTTTTCATGTTTAAAAATGCCGTCTACTCGGAATTTTTTTGGTGTTAGGAGTGAGGTAGAAATTCAGCCTTTTTACTTTCAAGTGGCCAACTCCAGAGTGTGTGTTTTTATGTGATGAATGGGGGGCGAGAAAAAAGTCAGAGATGTCTTCCAAATTTCCAGCCTAATTTTTTTCGTCTTATGATTTTTGTTTACGTATATAGAAATAACGATATATTTAACAACAAAGAAAAGTCACTTACCATCATACTGTGCTAAAATATAAAGTAATTCCATTTTTCACTTTTCTCTGGAAATTTCTTTCCACATTAATTCTGATTTATAGGAGATGCTTCAGTAGCAGTGTCTTACATTTAAACTTACCATGTGTGCTGCACATAATGTGTCAGTTGGCTCGAATATCTACCTAATGTTGGTGGCATTAATTACAGTACAGTGAAGTGAAACATTATAGCCTGATTATTTTAAGGATTTAGTTCCCCTCATCCCTGAATATTTCTGAAGCATTTTAATGATCAAGGAAAGGCTACTGTGAAATGTAAATTTTAAAAGAAATGACAGATCTTATTTTTCCCCCCTAGATTTTGGACTGGTTTGTACAGATATGTTTGGCCCTGAAACATGTACATGATAGAAAAATTCTTCATCGAGACATAAAATCACAGGTAAGTTTATTATGTCACTACTAACTTCTCAGTGGATGTGGACATGGGGCCAGCATTGTCTTGGGCTAGAATGTTTGAGCTTGGTGCAGTCTGCATCCGACTGTCTTCTCCCTTCACGGTCCCCACTCCACTGTAACCCTGAATATCACACAGGCGTCGTGTGTTAGGTCTTTGCCTGCTTTTCGTGTCCTGCTCTTTCATTATGATGGAAGAAATCCAAAACAATGGTTATGTTGAAGGGATTTGTTTTTTGTTTTTTTTTTTTTGAGATTTTGCATGTTTGAAGATTCTTCTACTTTATTTTTTTTTAAGTTTTGAAAAGATTTATTTACTTTTTATTTATTTATTTTTGGCTGCATTGGGTCTTTGCTTTGCGCGGGCTTTCTGTAGTTGCGGTGAGCGGGGGCTACTCTTCGTTGCAGTGTGTGGGCTTCTCATTGTGGTGGCTTCTCTTGTGGAGCACGGGCTCTAGGTGCACGGGCTTCAGTTGTTGTGGCACACGGGCTCAGTAGTTATGGCTCGCGAGTTCTAGAGCGCAGGCTCGGTAGTTGTGGTGCACGGGCTTAGTTGCTCCACAGCACGTGGGATCTTCCCGGACCAGGGTTTGAACCCGTGTCCCCTGCCTTGGCAGGTGGATTCTTAACCACTGCGCCACAAGGGAAGTCCAATATTCTGTAACTTTGATGAGAATTTGGTTATCAACTTCTGGTTAGAAATTGTTTTCTTGCAGAATTTTTAAGATGTTGCCCATTTGTCTTTTGGCTTCTTCTGTTGCTGTTTAGGAATTTGCAACCTCTTGCCCTTGTTTCTTCTCTCTGACCCATTTAAGATATTCTCTCTGTCCCATGGTTCTGAAATTTCATAGTTTGTGAATTGGTGAGGCTCACTTTTATTCATTATGCTGTGTACTTTTGAGAATGTATATTTCTTCTAGAAATGTTGTAGAAAATGTTTAGTTATATTTTTTCAAATATTATTTCTCTTTTGCTACTTTCACAGTTGTCTCCTGGATTTTTTTCTAGACACATGTTGGAGCTTCTCAATTCGTCCCTTCAAGTGCCTTATTTGTTCTTTCACGTTTTATCTGTGTCTCTCTCAGTTGTATTCTACATGAATTTTTCGACCTATCTTCTAGTTAACTAAATCCCTTTGAAATTTTGTGTAAACTAGTGCTTTTCTCATCTGTTGACTTTATTATGACTTTTTTTCTCCCCAAGGTTTCTAAATGGTTTTTCATATAGATCTGTTCTTATTGTAATTGGGTTTTGTTTCATAATGTCTTGTTCTTTTCAAATGCATATTTATTTCTTCATTTATTTCTTTGCAAGTTTCTAAATATATTTACTTCAAAGTTTTTATTGGACTGCTTTATAAAACTAATTCTGTCTGTAGTGAATTCTGGTTCTGGTTGTTTTATTGGTTGTTTTTCTTTGCAGTAGCTTTCTTCACGTGTATTGGATTCTTTTGTGGGAGATACTTTGTCCCCACAGCTCACTCATCTTTGCATCGAGGTTTCTTTCACGTTTGCGTCACTTGGGCTCACGCCCTTCCCAGAGTGGGTAGTACAGAGGGGCTTTGTTTCGTGATGTCAAGGCTGTGTGTCTGTCTTCTTACGTCCTTAGGCCTGCAGCTGCTTATGTAGCCTTGTAGCCCCAGGATGAGTAGTGGGAAGGAGAGGGACTATGGCGGGGCTCCCTACCCCATCTTTCCTTTCTCCCGACCCTCTGCCTCCTAATCCCATTTCAGACCATTTTACTCCATTCCACTCAACCCTGCCTTGTGCCATCTTTGGCTGTGAGCATGTGCTTGGTTCACATCTGACTGATAATGGAGTTTAATTCATGTAATCCCACAAACTCCTGGCTCCGCAGTTTGATGATAGAGCATTGGAAACCAGTGGTATGCTTTCTGTCTCTGTGGATTTGCCTATTCTGGACATTTGATACAAATGGATCATATAATATATGACTGTGCCTATTTTAAAATTGGGTTGTCTTTGGTTATTATTGAGTTGTAAGAGTTCTTTATGCTGGATGCAAATTCTTTGTCAGATACGTGACTTGCAAATATTTTCCCAAATTCTGTGGGTTGTCTGTTTACTTTCTTGATGGTGTCCTTTGCACAAAAGTTTTTAATTTAATGAAATCCAATTTATCTGTATTTTCTTTTTTTGCTTGTGCTTTTGGTGTCATATCTAAGAAATCATTGCGTAACCCAGTGGCATGGAGATTTACTCCTGTGTTTTCCTCTAGGAGTTTTATAGTTCTCACATTTAGGTCTAGAATCCATTCTGAGTTAATTTTTGCTTATGGTGTGAGATAGGGGTCTACATTCATTCTTTCGCATGTGGATATCCACTTATCCCAGCATTATTTTTTAACTGGATTCATTTTTATGACAGAAGTCGTTGACTAAGAACTGGACTGTAGCAACATTTCTGGCTTTTTTTCATCTCTTTTACAGAACATATTTTTAACCAAAGATGGGACAATACAACTTGGAGATTTTGGAATCGCTAGAGTTCTTAATAGGTAACATACAGTTTTAAACTTTGGTTTGCTATAATGTCTTCAGTGAAATTTTAATCCCTGGTGATGTATGTGTGGTAATGTCTTTAAATGTCTTAAGCTTCTCCAGTAACTCTCTTTTGTTCTAGTACTGTGGAGCTGGTTCGGACTTGCATAGGGACCCCATACTACTTGTCACCCGAAATCTGTGAAAACAAACCATATAATAATAAAAGGTATTTAAAATATTCATTATGTGTTTATTTCCTTTACATCTTTCTCTGTTGTACTGTCTTTATTAATCTTCAGAATATTATTCTAAAATCAGTAATGCACATATGTAGACATATATATACATATGTATATACATTTTTTTAGTATATAATGAGGGGAATTATAAAGCAGCTATTTCACTACCTTGCTGAAGGAACTATAGAATCTCTTTATTATTTAAGCTATAATGGGAAATAGAGTGCCTTCTTCGTCTTTCTGTTTGTAATAGTCACTTATTGAATTATCATAGTTAATATTTATTGAACACTTACTATATGCCAGGCACTGTTTTAAATGCATTTTATGCATTAACTGTTTTTATCTTCACGATAAACCTTGTGAGTTATAGGTATTATTCATTCCTCCTTTCCTTATAAAGAAACCAAATGCAGAAAGAGGTAAAGTAACTTCAAAGTCCCAGGCATCTGGCTCCCAAGCACAAATTCCTAATCACTGGGCCGTATTATGGCTAACAGATTGACTAATATGTGTGTTGGGAAGAGGAATTCTGCCACTGAATTCCAGTTACCCTTTATTTTCTCTCATACTCACTAATTTAAAAATGCCAACCAAGAAGCATTGGTCTTAATTTTGAAAGCACCCTTAGAAGCTAAAAGGAAGAAAGTGGTAGCTGGCAATAATGCATGTGTTCATGGTTGCTATCCCCCTGCCCACCCCCCCTTTTTTTTTTTTTCCCCCTTTTTTTTTGAGGGTAGAGAGGAAGCTGTGTTTCAGACCTGAGCAGAAGGTCTGAGAACGTCATCTGAGGAATGTATTTAAGATCAGTTTAAATTACAATGATCGGCCAAGTCCATGCAGTGTATTATTAGTAGATATTCTAAAATAAAATAGTATTTTCTTTGAGCTAAAATAATTTTACATTTTAATGCTGTTTCTGTGTCTTGTGGATAACTCAACTGTGAAAATATTAGTCTTTAAATTTGAAATGGATTTAATCATCCCTTGGAGAATTTTATGTAATATTGGTTTTGTGGGAAAAATGCTTTAAAAATGTAATGCATGAACATCATCAATTATATTTTGAAATTCATATTTTCCCAAATGTATTTTAAAGTATTTTATTGATAAGATCATTAGTTTAATGTTTTTGTTTATAGCTTTTAGTTTGTAACATGTACAAGTTACTAAAAGCTCAATTACATTTACATTTTTTTCTTAGTTGAATCTTAAAATTAAACAGATTTTGGAGGTTACAGGTTTATATTTGTAGATTTTTGTGAGAGTTTGGGTAAAGATAACTTTAGGATTTCGATAATGGGCTTTATTCTTTTTCAATAAGTTAAACTTCCAGGAGCAGTGGTTTTGTTTTTCTTTTTTTTGACTTCCAAGGACCACTGTAGCTCTAAATTGTGGGGTCTTTTCCTTTTAAAAATACAGGTAGTCTTTTAGTTACAGAACTATCTGTTTAAGATAAAAGAGCGGAAGAGAGTGGATAAAGAAGATAGTGTAACTAAGTCTTTAAATTAGGAGAAAATAAATTAATGTATTTACATATTTTAGTTGGCTGTCACAGATTTGTTTCAGATTTAATTTTAGTAAATTAATATTTTCTTCATTAAAGCAGTATTTTGCTTTTATAGTATTTAAGAAATTGTGGTATTTTGCAAATAATTGAACAAAACATTTTGATTTATGCAAAATAAAAAAACTAAATGAAGCATCCATGAAATTTACTGATTTTTGTCCTTTTAAATATTAGATTTCTTTAATGAAACTTTTAAAGTAATTACTTGGGCAACAGTTATTTTTCTAATCTGGAATAGCTGCTTTTGTCATTTGGTTATGGTTGTAATTTTAAGTTTGAAAGGTCATGTTTTATGGAACACATACTTTTGCAAAGCATTTTTATGCTGCTTTTGTCTCCTTTAAGTTAAAAAACCTTTTAAAGTAAATTCTGATATTTAGAGAAGATCTCTTATTTTTCTCTTTTCTAGTGACATTTGGGCTCTGGGGTGTGTCCTTTATGAGATGTGCACACTTAAACATGCAGTAAGTAGAAGTTTCTGAGATACTTTAAAAATTATGTCAAAAAGTACGTATAGTGTTTCTGATTTAAAAAAATCATATGCCGTCTTTCAGATGACCCTCTTGTGCTAGAAATTCTTCTCTGTCGGTTTATAAATTTCTCTTCTTTTCTGAGGTATAAATTTAAATCAATTTTCCCTTAATATGTATGCATATATTACATATACATATTATATATGTTATTATAATACATGTATCATACTTTATTCCAGAAAATTATTTCTAAAGACAAATTTGCTGTCTTTTTAATGTTAAATTCACGTATGAATTTGATATTTCAGCTTAACAAACTTATTAATTTCATTTTAGCAGTTTTTCTCAAAGCATCCAAATTATTTGTGTTTGGAATTGAAATTATCTAAAGAACATATCTCAGCATATTCGTTGAGGGGAGATTTTATCAATTTAAATAATGTTTAATATAGAGTATTTAAAAATTTCACTGTTGAGATTCTTTTGAGATCACACATAATTCACCAAAAAGGGGGAGTTCTTATCCAAAATAGGTTGAATTTTAATCACTTTCCATTTTTAAATCTTTTTAAAATGCTTCCCCCACTGATTAAGCCATAATATATTTTCATTACAGAAAACTTAAGGGAAGAGATTAAAATATAAGTAAGCGAATAAATATCAAAAGCGATTCTTCCAGCCAATAATGATTACTTGTAATATTTTGTTGTTTCCTTCTAGACTTATAGAATAATTTATAAAATGAGTTTTTGTTTTTTTTCCCTCAAGATTTTGGTTATATGGTATAAGCAGTTTTATAGTTTGTTTTTATTGCCTGATATTATTTGGGGAGTATTTTTCTTTGTTGTGTTTATTCATAGTTGCATACTCTTCTGCTGTATTCCCTTAAGATTTTATTTTTCTGAAGGAAAAAAACATAGACTGCCAAAGTGATATGGCCTGGTGGATATTAGATCTGTACTTTAAGGAACTGGTCAGTTTTTCTGTGACACACAGTCATGTAGGTCTAAATCTACATATTTTTAGATAGTCTTTTCATTTACAATACATTGTTCTGTCACCATTGTTTCTGTATTTTGGAATTGTTTTCCCTTCAGTGGACACATAAAATTAAGTAATTCATTAACCTTTATTTATGAAGAGCTTATCAGTTGAGAGATAAATAAAACTTCATTGTAATGAAAGAATAGAGTAATAACCTATTTCTGCATTTAGGATCCTTCTTAGGTATATAGGTATTTCTAGATGATGGAATTGTACTCAAAGCTTAATAAACAATATCATATTTTAAATGCTAGGAGAATTCCACATTTAACAGAACTCTTTTATACTTGGATATAATCACCAGTGCCTAACTTATAGCATGTTTTGTTTTCTTAACGTGTGCATTAAGAACATATTGATAGTGTACAACTGTTCTATACTATTTTAGCTGAGATGTCAAAAGCTTAATTTTACTTTCAAAATGAAATCTCTTTAGATTTTAAACTGCCCCATCTCTTTTTCCCCCCCACTTCAGTTAGTTTATATTGTGTTTAATCCTAAAATATATATTCCCATTGATAAGGCTTATATTCCCCTTTGGAATATTTGCCACATCGCTGATCGCATGGCTTTTGGGAGCATCACACACTTAAAAGTAATAATGAGCAGTGTATAAAAGGAAATTAATCAGTACCTTTATTTATTATATTTTTACCAAAATAGTTTTAGTTCTGTAGTTAATTTCTTGTTCTAGTTGCTACAGCAGGGGCACAGGAAGGCAGGTGTTAAATGAAGACTACCAGGTTTGCTTGTTTTACCATCTTGATTACTGTTATGTTTTTATAAACTCTTTAATTGATACCTATATCCCATCTTTTAGTTTTTTGAATAAGTAAAAGTTAATCTTATAGCAAGTGGTACCATTTTATGAGGACTGATACTCTCTTTCAAATGTGTTCGTAAATAACCAAGTGAACCTTGCTCTAGAGAGCATGTGCTGATTAAAACTGGGAAGAGGGTTGCAATTCTGTTCTATATTGATAGGAAAAGTACTGTTTCTCATTGTTGAAACTGACATTTTCGACTTATGTTTCATATACGTTAATTTATTTTCTGGATTTTAGTTTGAAGCTGGCAATATGAAAAACCTGGTACTGAAGATCATATCTGGATCTTTTCCACCCGTGTCTTTGCATTATTCTTATGATCTCCGCAGTTTGATCTCTCAACTATTTAAAAGAAATCCTAGGGATAGACCATCAGTCAACTCCATATTGGAGAAAGGTTTTATAGCCAAACGCATTGAAAAGTTTCTCTCCCCTCAGGTATGTATTTTTATTTTATAATTAAATTGAACAGTAGGGTTATGGTGCTTGGCTAGGACGTGGCCTCCTCTTTGGAGGAGAGCACATCGCAGCTGTGGGGGAATGCTTGCCTTTACACTGGCATCAGCTTACTTTCTGTTCTCACATAGCTCTTCCCCTTGCTGTCTGCTTTTGAGCTGTGCATCTATAGGAGGGAAAACATACCTTCTGTGTTTCCTCTTAACACTTACTGCTGAACTTCTGAACTTCTCATCACCAAATGTGTGGCAGTTTTTACATACCAAGTAGAATTCATTTCAGCCCTGACCCTGTGTACCTGGAGATCACATCAGATCCCACAGGTTAAGGGCTCTGTCTCTCCCACAAGACCACCCCCACTTCAGAAGCCAGTTTAAGTCACAGGTTGCCACCTGTGCTTCTGAGCGACTTATAAATCAGAGTTTTCCATTTCCCCTTCCTCTGGTTTGATTAATATCTTGCTGGAGCGGCTCACAGAACTCGGAGAAGCATTTACTTACGTTCACCAGTTTATTATAAAGCATAGGATAAGGGATACAGATGAATAGCCAGGTGAAGAGGTGCGTATGGTGAGGTCCAGAAGGGTCCCGAGTGTAGGAACTGGGGTCCTTCTTTGAATGTTCACCGATTCAGAAGCTCTCTGAACCCTGTCCTTTTGGTTTTTATGGAGGCTTCATTAGTAGGCACGATCAGTTAAATCATTGGCTCTTGGTGATTGGCTCCAGCCCCTTTCCTCTCCTGGGTAGGGGAGGGGAGTGGCATTGAACGTTTTAACCCTCTAGTCAGGTGGTTGGTTTCCCTGGCAAGCAGCCTCCACCCTTAGGTGCTTTCCAGATATCATCGCATTAACATAAATTCAGGTGTGTTTGAAAGGGGCTTGTTTTGAACAACAACAGACACTTCTGTGCTCTTCCTGCTGAGGGAATAACAGGGATTTGAGGGCTGTGTGCCAAGAACTGAGCGAAGCCCAAGTATATGTTCCCTAACGTCGTCGCCTCAGTACAGAGTTACTCCTCTGTCTCTTGTGTTCCTCTCGTTTGGTTTTCCAGTTTATTTTATTGTGGTAAAATAGACATAACATTAAATTTATTATTGTGACAAGTTCTGAGTACGCAATTCAGTAGTACTAACTACATTCATAATGCTGTACAGTGATCACCACATCCGTCTAACTCTTTTCATCTTGGAAAACAGACTCTATACTCATTAACCAGTAACTCTGCTTCCCCTCTCCCCAGCCCTGACACCCATCTTTCTGTACTCTCTGTCTTCTCTGGTTTCTGACAGTAAGATTATTGAACACTTGTGTGCTTCCCTTTCCTCACCTGTGAACAATGGGATAGTAAATGAGGCGGTTGTGAGAATCAAAAGTGACACTGCATGTGAAGTGCCTGATGTCTCATACTTAATAAGTACTCAGTATACTCAATATATATTAAATATTATCAGTGTATCACTTTATTATGCTAATATAAATATGTTATCTTTATAATTCATATGATTGTAATTGTTTTTTCTGTAACAGAAAATGATTGGAAACCGCTGAAGTGTGGGCATTTATATGTATGTGTAATAGATTATTGACTCATGATTCCTCCTCTAGTACCTGCATATAGGTGCATAATAAATATTTGTTGTGTTGAATTTTATTTTGACAGGATTTATCAAAAATCTATAAGTCAATTAGTGTAAGTTATTGATATAAATATGATCACCTGAAAGTGGAATTATTTTACGTAAGTTTGTGTGGCCTTTGTTGATTTAAATGATCAACAGTGATCATTTATACTCTTGTATAAATCAGATATCTAGCAAAATCATAGTTTTATTACTTTTATATGTTCATGAGATGAGAGGGAAGTGTCGTATATCCTCTGGCTTTTAACAGAACATCCGTATGAACAAACAATCTTTAGAAAACAGAGATGTGGATTTAACTGTTAACATCCAGGAAAACACATTAGTAAGCAAGAAAGCCAATTAAAATTTGGCGGTTAAAGGCCACTTATGTAGGACATAGCTACAATCTCTGAAGTGTGGGTGTCTTACAAGACTCCTTTGTTATAAATAACATTTTCAAGGACAGATTTATGGTGCAGCATACTATTGTTTTTTGGCAACTACTGGAGAAGAAAGAATGACTGCATTTAATCTCGCTGTTTCTTTCCCCCGCATACCAGCAGTTAGGACGTGCAGTCCCAAGGCTGAAGCACTGGAATTCAGTTAGCCAGCTACAAAAGAAATATTCAAGCCTGATATACACAAAGCCTGTAACATCTAAAGACAAAAGGGCAGATTATGGCCGTTAACAGAGTGTTTGACACACATGCTTACTAAATACAAAGTACCCCGTTGCTGTTTATGCACCACTTAGATTTCACTCTTCACGAAAAACTTTCGTTCTTATGATTTTTCTGCTGTATATCACTTGTTCAGTACTTTAACGACAAAGTTTATGATACTTTTTTTAAGGCTTTAACTTTGAAACAATATGAATTTTTACTGTAGCATATGAACTATTATTATCACTATAATATTCTGTACTGTCTTTAAATTTCTAGTCCCTGAATTCTCTCAGTGCCGTCAGCCAGGATCTGTGGGGCATAGTTCTCAGTCCAGCACATCCTGGAGATGTCTTCTTGGATGTGGCTTGATAGATCGTGGACAAGCTTTGGTCCATTAGGAATGTAGGTGCCGTCCTGTAGTGCTTTCTGTGAGGCTGAAGATGTTTTATATCTGCATGTGCAACCTCATAGCCACCAGCTTAAAATGTGGCTAGTGTGGCTGAAGAGCTGAACTTTAAATTTTATTTATTTTAAATTTTAATCCAAATGGCTGCATGTTGGTAGTGGCAACTATATTGGATGCCACAACATAGGAATTCCAGAATCTTCTTGGATTCCACATGTCCCATCTCTCAGTTCACATGTGCATTCACACAGGGGAAAAGACAGACTCACACTCAGATTTAGGGCAAGGTGGAGATCATAAAGCATGTCTTCCATGAAAAAGAAAGGAAAAAAACCCGCACATGTTCAGAAGAGAAAGCACACTCACACAGTTGGCTCTCAGTTGCCTGTGAAGCAGACTTTTCATGCAGTGGTTCTCAAACTTTAGCATACATAAAAATTACCTGGAGGATGCTGCTGAATCCCACCTCTATTTCTATTTCAGTTAGTCTGAGATGGAGCCTGAGAATTGGCATATTTTATAAGTTCCTGGTGATGCTGATTCACTGATATTATGAGGCTTTGAGAACTGCTCCTATAGGGATCCCTGATGGGAAAGGCGACCATCTTAGCTTCTGGCTTTTTGCCTGTTGGAGTTTCTGATCCCTTCCACTGTGGGCAGTCTTCCCTTCACCACCCCTCTGTTCTCTCGAAGAAAGAGAAAATTCACTTGCCTTTCCCTTCTTTGCCCAGTAAGAAAAAAAGCAGGCCTAAATCGACTTAGCAATTATATTGTTGCTAACATAGTTTTACATTTAAAGAGAGAAAAAATATAGTGAGTAGGGAGAGAAAGTTACTTGCAGGAAATACTAATGATTTCTGCTTCTCAAAATAAGTAGTGGAGTGCTGTAGTAATAGTAAAAGGAGATAACTTTTAAGTTGTGTAAGAATATTCAAATAGGGGAGGGGAAGGGTAAGCTGTGACAAAGTGAGAGAGTGGCATGGACATATATACACTGCCAAACGTAAAATAGATAGCTAGTGGGAAGCAGCCGCATAGCACAGGGAGATCAGCTCGGTGCTTTGTGACCACCTAGAGGTGTGGGATAGGGAGGGTGCGAGGGAGGGAGACGCAAGAGGGAAGAGATATGGGAACATATGTATATGTATAACTGATTCGCTTTGTTATAAAGCAGAAACTAACACACCATTGTAAAGCAATTATACTCCAATAAAGATGTAAAAAAAAAGAATATTCAAATATTTATCCAGTAATATGTTTACAATTATATATTGATAAGATCGAAAACTCATTGGAGATGCTGAGAAGATTCAGAGTAAAGTTGAAATAACCGAGAGGTTAATCCAGGGGAGGGATAATGAAGTGATTCTTCAGCAGTTTTGAAGTAGATGAGGGAGATGGATGCACCTCGATACAGAGGTTATTCCAGATGGAGGGCAGTGTTGTTAAATCGCCGAAACACAGAACAGGCAAGGCAATCTGCAGGGGCCTGGGGGGTGCGTTTTGTTAATTCAAGAAGAGAGCTTGTCCAGAGAAATAATAAAAAGATATTGGTAAGACTGGGGAGAAGGTAGCGTGAGAGGAATTTGTTGAATGGGTAGCTTGGATTTTAGTACAGATTATTTGGCAGCATAATTGTGACTGAAAAAGGGAAAAAATGTGTTCTGATTAATGGCTAGGTTTTTTTTTTTTTAATTTGGTAATTTAACATTTTTTCTAACGATGTCCCCTGTCTTTCAATTTAAGCTTATTGCAGAAGAATTTTGTCTAAAAACATTTTCCAGGTTTGGAACACAGCCTATTCCAGGTAAATGAAATTTAATATGAATCCTTTCCCCTGTTTGCCATAATCAGTATACTGATTATACTAGAGGTATTTGTAGATGTAGTCAGTTGGGGTAATCCAGAGGAAGTGCGTCTTTAAATTTTTTATGTTATATGGCAATATACAACACTTTCTGATGAATTCATAACAAAATTTCCCTTTATTATCTGCCTTATTTAAATGAATTCTATTTTGAAATCTGTCATATTCAAATGTTCAGCTCATATTCTGAGAACATTGTTACAAAATGTTATAAAATGCCCTAGTTAACTGCAAATCTTTATGTAAATTAATTTTCTTTGAGAAATACTTAATATTTATGTAAACTAGTTTTCTTTGAGAAATATTTAGTATTCTAGAATATTTTAAATGTAAATCAGTGTGAAGTCAGGCACCTTAGTAAGGATAGATTTTCTTTTAAGTATGGCCAGCAGCGGTGGAATATTTGTAGGGCTGTGAGTGTGGTTATATATTATGTTTATGTATGTAAGTGTATCTCTGTGAGAGGGAAATTACATTTTTTCTGCATGGAATGATTTCAGAATGGGTTTCTAAAATCAGTGGAAGTCATTTAAAACTTGAAGATTGTGTTGTTTTTCAAACATAATGCTTTGCATGTTCTACTCCAGTTTGAGTATGAACACATTAATAAAAATAAATCCTGTATCATAAAAGCGAGTCCATATCAGCTGGATGTGGTGTGACTGTGTGTTCTTAGGGAGGCCAGCTGGGTTTAGCTCTTCTTAAACACCCTGGGGCTCATCCTCTGCGCCGGCCGAGACTGGCAGTCCTGGGAGATCAGATCCACTTGGAACCAAGTTCATGAGACAAACCCAGGGCAGGGTCAGCGTGTCCCTCCTGGCGAGGAGTCACACCTTCTTCAAAAACCTCCTTGTCACACAGGCAGGAAGGAATCCCTGTGTCAGCACTTTCTTCCCAGTGGGCGAGCCTCCTGGGAAGCACAGCGCAGGAGCTCTGCTCTACTCTGGTGTGAGGAGCTGGATGGAGGAGATGTGTAATGGCGAGGCACTACCTTGTGGGCCCCCTCCCCGTGGGCAGGAAGCTTCCTCCTACTGGGAGCCTCGCCTCTGAGATGAGACACCTCAGCAGCCAGACGAGTAATCCTCCCTCTTCTCTGGGGAGTGTGTGCTTTTCTGCCTCTTGCCCCTTTTCTGGTACACACAGTATTTCTTTTTTTTTTTTACACAGTATTTCTTTGGTTATGTTAATATAAGTAGCCAGGTTGCAGCGGTGTGACTTTGTATATCTGTCTTCCGATTGGAACTTACAGTTGAATTTTCAAAGGGGAAATTGTTTTTCTCACATTTCCTAGTTCCTGTTCTGATACAGTTGGAGTATGTGTTTGGAAAAACTTACTGTACCACACTGTATCTCACACATTAGTTGTGAATCTCTAAACTGCCAATCAAATGGCTTATATTATTTTTATTTTTGTAAGAGTTTACTAAATTATATGAACAGTATGTGTTCATTATAAAAATTAAAAAGAAGAAAATAGAAATTACCCTAATGTTAACACAGACTGTTATATTTGGTATATTTTTTTCCGTGATAGGAGATGCGTAATGATTGAAAATTGGGGTTGTGTTATATAAACAAAGGTTCGTTCCTTTTAATTCACAGTATTATATGTTGATCATTTTCTAATACAATTAAATATTCTTTGAAGAACAGAATTTAATGGTAGTATTTCCTCGTGAACTCCCAGGTAATTTTTTTCTCCATTCCCCTCTTAAAGAAGAAGCGTGCTTGTTGGCAGAGGTTGATCACGTGGCTCTAGGACATGGTACACCCCTGGGATGGAGGGCAGGCTGAGTGAGGAGTGGGGCAGAGCAGGGGGAGGGGGTCATGGAGGAAGGGGCTCCAGGAAGGCTTCGAGCAGAGGAGACTCTTTGACCTCCTTTAGTATCTTTGATGGCCGTATGGTGTAGACTTTCTTTTTCATTACTTTAGTCTATTTTTTTTGAATTTGTCATTGTTCTAAGACTGAATCTTGTCTGAGTTTCAATAGAAGTTTAATACGGAATGCTGCAGGGTTTATCCTTGTGTATAAATTTTTGTGTTTCTCTGATTATGTCTTTAAAATCACTTCATAAACGTTGTTCTTTTTTGTTTGTTTGTTTTGGCCACACTGCGCGGCTTGTGGGATCTTAGTTCCCCAGCCAAGGATTGAACCCGCGCCCTTGGCAGTGAAAGCGTGGAACCCTAACCACTGGACCTCCAGGGAATTCCCATAAACATTGTTCCTGATATAGATTGCTCTTTGGAAAGTTTGACCAGTTTGTATTCCTACCAGCAGTGCATAAACATACTTATTTCATGGGACCCTTAGCTATAGAGATTCTTTTAAGTACGTCTTCTTCAATGGGTCTGTAGGTGTAGGCATTACTCAGACTACATATGAAGCAAATATTAAAGTGCTCATAGTGATGGAATTAATGTTTAACAGTTGCTCTTGAGGTTTATATTCTGATTTCAAAAGTAATTTCTAAGACATTGAATGTTCTTTTTAAAGTTTGTTTTTAACAGCTGTATTGAGATACAATCCGCATACCATTCAATTCGCCCATTTAAAGTCAACAGGTCAGTGTTTTTTAGTATATTCACAGATACGTGCAGTCATCATCCACAGTCAGTTTTAGGGACGTGCTTGTTCTGTGTGAGAAATTTCAACATGTGAGAAATTTCAACAAGTTAGCTTCTTGCTTCTTTCAAAGAGTGGCTTTAGTGTGGAATAGCCCTAATGGAGGCATTGCCGTGTGGTAAGGAGGGAGTGAGACGTTTAATGAAAAGTTTCAGATTCAGTGATCTCAGTGATTGTGAACATGAACAAGGCCATCTTGAAGAATTTTGAAATTAGGGGTTTCCTATTAAGAACTCTGAAAATTTTTTTCTATTTTTTTCACATAGCCAAAAGACCAGGTTCAGGACAAAGCTTGGCTTCTGTTGTGTCTGCTCAGAAAATTACAAAGCCTGCTGCTAAATATGGAGTCCCTTTAACGTATAAGAAATATGGAGATAAAAAATTACATGAAAAGAAACCACTCCAAAAACATAAACAGGTATGATGATCATGCTACAAACTGTGTATTAATAACATGCTCAGTTTGACCTTATTTTATTGTAGCTCAGTTCAGTTAATCTTGATATTCATAGGATTGTTTTCATTAAGTTACTAAAGAACATTGTTCTCTGCTTCATCAGTCTCTAAAACTTGGGAGACTTACAGAAGTCATAAAGAAACATTAGTTAAGTAAAGTAGCTGGTGCAGTAAAAAGAGAGTAACATTATAAATGAAATCAATTTTGAATAACCTAAGCAGAGCCATTTGTCTTTGTGCCTAAAATAAGTAAATATCTGTGATAAACATCATAAAAATCTGGGGAAATTTTGAATTTACGATTTCACGATGAGATAAATAAAATCATAGAGCTGGAGGAATATGATCATATAGTCTGTCATATTTCAGATGAAAATTAAGGCCTGTAGCATTTAGGGGTTGTGTCTAAGAACACAGTATTAGTTGCAGGAATTTGATACTTTTCTTCACGTCACTAGCTGTGTTCTCTGGTATATGGAACCTGTTGGTTTGCACTGTGTGTGCACATGCATGCATACACGTACACACACATGTAGTTACAAAGGTGTGTGTAATGCTGTAAGACAGACCTCCTAGGAGGGGTGGTCCGTCTCTTTGGGTAGAAGCTATGATAAAGTAGTTCAACATGATCCTTGTAAAGCAGTCTTCAAATAAGTTGTGTAAGTCAGCATCCAGTCAGGAGACAGAAAACATAATAATTTGATAGGGGGAAGTTTGGTGTAAGTCATTATGATCTGTTTTTAGGTAATTGACTTCTAAGGGGTAAAGAGAACTCTAAAGAATACAGGCCTAGCAGACAGACGCAGGAAGCAGGCACTGCTCCTGGTGCAGAGGCAGGGCCCCATAGGAGAGACAGAGGCCAGAGTATCACCCCGCCTGCCCTTAAAGCCGAGACTCAGAGCCTGCTGGGTGTGGATGGAGGTGACCCCTGGGTAGTGGAGTTCGCTGAGGTGCCAGGGCCGAGGCTGGCAGATGCGAGACTGTCCATTGTGGAGCTGATCAGATGCCTGGAACCTTCATAGGGTGAACCGTGCTGAGAGGCCCGGTTGGAGGAGCCTGCCGGCACTGCTGGGCCCTTTGGGCTGGGCTGCCCGGCTGGGGCACCGGGTGCGGCGGGCAGCTGGCCTCGAGGCTGCCGCTGAAAGTCGCAGAGAGGCTGCCGGGGGTACTCTGCCTGCAGGGGTGGTGTCACCGCCTGTCCTGCACCCACAGGGACAAGAGGAAGAGAAGCCCTTTCCTTGTGCAGCATCGCTTTCTCCAACATGGTCTGCAGACAAAGCTTCCTGCTGCAGGCCTGAGGTTTGCCCTGTCCAGCTCCAGGGTCACGAGCAGGACGGTGAAGGGTGAACTGCGAGCTGAGGGGCATCGTGACAGCTGGCACACCGCGTTTGTGTTTCTGTTTTTTGGTACCATGTTTATTCAGGCCTAAGTGGAGCAATTCCATCATAGCCTTTAGCCCTCTTTTCTTTAGTCACCACAAGACACCCAGCGCCCCCGGCGTGCCCTCATTCCGTAGCCTCTCAGCTCCCTAAGGCTCTGGCCCTCCCCCGATCCCACCCCCGAACCCTTCCACAGAGCCTTGGAGAGCACATCATCAGCCAAATCCCCTGTGTTCCAACCTTGTCAAGAGTGTCTTCACCTCTTTTGCTCTAAAATCTGGCTTGCCCTGAACACTGTCATGCATCTCTCTTGGGGACCGTTTTCCCTCTGGTCCCTCAGTCCTGCTGGGCCTAGAGGTCGGCCGATGGAGGCGTGGTCCTCGCTTGTCATTGCCAGATTCTCCCCTGCTCCCTAAGCCACTCCGCCAGGCTTCGTGTCAGCTGCTGCGCCTCCGTGAGGGTCATCCTAGACACTTCCCCGCACTGTCATGATTCTTGGTGACTTCAGTATCTGAGAAGATGACCCTTGCGGTAGTGCACGGCCTTGTTTTCTTGATGGTTCTCTTTCATCAGTGATCGTGTCTCCTGCCTCACCTTGGAACTCTCCCCTGTAGTCATGCCATCACATCATGTCATCCATAATAGCATCTATTTCGTAGTCTCAGTTACAAGTACCCCACTCTCTGACCACTACTTCCTGTGTTTTCAGCTCATTCCCTGAGGACTCTGCCACCAAAACTTCTTTGTTCTGTTGGATCCGTGGATCTTAGCTAGTTTTTTCATTGTCCATCCCTTCTTCATTTTTATTTTCTTTCTCCGGCTTTAATTTCATGTTCTCTCGTTGTAATAGTTTCCAGAACCTCAACTGTCTTGCCCCAGTGGAATGTGGTGAGGAAAACAGGCAGCTGTTCTAACTGGTCTCGCTTTAAATTTAGACCCCCAGCGTCAGGCAAGCACTGCCGCCACCACCCTGTTATGTTTCCACAGTCCAGTTCCCTTCCCACTTTCCAGGATGGTTATCTCCTGCTTTCTCCTTGCTCTTCACCTCAGGGTATGGCCTTGCTTCCTATTTCACTGAGAAAACAGAAGCAAGTGGAAGGAAATTGCCCACACTCAGCAGCCCTCTTGCCAGTCAGTCCTACGTGTTTGTAAATATCCTGCCTTTCTTCCTGTTACTTTGCTGATCTATTTGTGTTTTGATCCAGAGCCGACCCAGCTGTTTGTGGACCATATGTTGTTAGTATTTCTGCCTACTAAAGGACTTCACCCTCTCTTCGGTATCATATTTTTCCTCTCTCCCGAATCACTCCTGTTAGCAAACAGACATGTTATATCTGCAGTCTTCTTAACAAAATCCTTCCTCCCATGTCTCCCTGGATCCAGCCCTTTCCCTGTATCTCTGCTCCTTTAATGGCAGAACTTCCCCCAGCCTTGTCTGTACGTCTTCGCTTCCTTGCTTCCCCTCCTTGCTTCCCCTTTCCTCTTGCTTTGTCACAGCTGTTAGGACGCGGCTCCTGGCGAGGACCGCAGGGAGCCCAGTTGGGTATGTCCAGGGGTCAGGTGTCTTGTTCCCCTGCCTCAGTTTTGGACTCACTGATTACCTGCTCTTCCTTTAACGTTCTCTTCACGTGAGTCTAGATACCGCACTCTGCTGACTGTCCTCCTCCCTGCCTGCCTGCTCCTCTTGCCGCGGCGCAAGCTCCTCCTGCTGTCGCTGACCCCTGACGCTCCAGTGCTTCAGGACGCCAGCCGGGGACACCTCCCCGAACCATCCTCGCGCTCTGACAGCACCTGTAAACCGACACATCTGCATCTCGAGCCTGGACTCCTTTCCTGAACTCCAGACGCGTGCTGTCCTCGCGTTTCTAACCGGGTGTCTGATGGGCATCCCAGCGTGAGGCTGTGTAAGTCTGAACGCCAGGTCCCATGCCGTCCCCAGGCTCATCCTTCTTGTCTTGCCTCACGCTCCTGAAGTCCGCTGACGCCCCGTCACCGTCACATCCTGTCCACCGCCTGCAGAACCTATCCTGTTCGCAGTCTGACTGCTGCTCGCCACTCTGTCAAACACTGATCCAGGCCACCTCGCCCTCCCCGGCCTGACCTCACTGCTCTCAGACCGGCGTCCTGCGTCTGTCTGCACACGGCAGCCTCAATGCTGCTCTGGTGGTGAAGGGTAATCGTCGCCCTTTCCTGCTCAAGAGGTGCCAGCAGCCTTTCCTCCCGCTCAGAGAAGGTGCCCTTGTTACCTCCGCAAGTCTCATCTCTGCTCCCTCCTTGCTAGTCTCCATCCAGCAGCGCTCATGAAACCTTGCTGTCCTCGGACGTGCCGAGCACTTATCTGCGGAAGAGCACTTGAACTTGCTCCTCTCCTCTCCTGGAGGACTCTCTCTCTCTTGCATGGTTTTCCTCCTTCCTTCCTTCCAGGCTGTGCTCGCAACTCTAAGGAGAGAACTGCCATCCAGCCTTCTGGCCCACCCCCGCAGCTCCGTCTGCTTTTTCCTCTGCTGTTTTTCTTGCATGTGCTTGTTTCCAGCCTCCTCCGTGGAGGTGTGAATCTGTGAGAGCAGGGGTGATGTTGTTCACTGGTGCCTGAACCAGTGGGGCCCCCAGTAAACACTGACTGGATAAGTGAGTGATGAGTGAATTAGAGAGCACTAACAGAGTTTGTCAAGTCACTCAAGTGTTAATTCTTTAAAAGAATGAATAACACCCAAAAGTTGTTCGTAAAACTGTGCAGAGGCCATTTTGTTGCCGTTGTTAGCACATTGATAACTATTAGAAAAACAAAACCAAGAGAGAAAAAAATGATAATGACCAACTCCTGAGCACACTGGGATGTGTCTGTACTCCATAAGGTCACAGGAGGAAAAAAATAGACTCAATAGCTATTTTCTTCAGTTAGGAAGACGAGTAGTCTGCTAAGGTTATTATCGGTAGCTGTACTGAAGAGACTAAAAATTAGTACGATCCCTTTAACTTTCTCTTGTAACCCAAATACATACTTGGGTGGACTTGTAGAAGGTCATTTGCCTTATCTCTGGGCCAAGTGTTCACCTGACCAGTGGAGAGATCAGAGCACTTGGTGAGGCTGGGCTGAAGATGTAGCAGGTGGTCCTCACCCTTGGGCGGGATCGTAGCCAAGTGTTTATTCTTTCACATGGCTGGTCGAATCAAACAGTATGTTGGTGTTCTTAATGTTTCCCTCATTTTCAGTTAGCATTTATTCAGTATGCAAGAGCAGCATGCTGTGGTATTAATAATATCCTGAATAACAGATACCATCCCATCAAATAGTGACAGGTACATGATTCAGGTGATAGTTATAAGAGTTTTGGAGTTCAGGCAAGGTTGTTGCCCTTAAAGTTTTTAGGCATTTGGCATGATTTTCTAGACCAGACCAATGAGAACTAAGTAATAATTAGCACATGAAATAATCATGCAGCTTATTTAAACAACGTTTCACGACAGATTTCTTTGCACGACAGTGTGAATGTACTTAATGCCACAGAATTGTACACTAAAAAAATGGTTAAAATGGTAAATTTTTTTTAGTTGAAGTATAGTTGATCTATCATATTGTGTT